GGTAAATCTAAACTAAACGAAATTTGCAGATAAATGAGCAATTATGTCTCATTATTTTATTTTGTATAAATTTTTGAACAATGCTTTTCACAATAATGACATTGTCAGTATCCGCACATTTTAGAGAAACCAGAAGAGTTTATCTCGCATTTTAAGGTTAATTTATGTTAATTATTTCAAAAAAATTTTTTATTGCTTGTAAAATTGATCGCTCGTTCGGATTTAGTTTATTAAGTAGAATCGGAAGAAAATGTCAGAAAGCGGGGCTTAAATTCGGAAAGAAAAAAAGTTGGCAAGAATTAACCGCTCAGACTAAAGCTCCTCATTTCCATTTTAGGAAAAATATGCAGTCTTGGATAATAAAATTTAAAATGATATAAAATAGGAGTTCACAAGCCCATTGGCGAAAGCGTTTCTCAGGACTCTTCGTGGATAGAGCGTGACTTTATAATGATTTTGTGGGGTGAGACTTAAATTTTCCTTCTCACAATATTTATCAGACTGGGGTGGGCGATAGACTTACCTCCACGTGGTGCACCCTGGGCAACGTATTCTCATTCGGTAAAAATGTCTATTAACCGGCAGTTGACTTTTGACCTCAAACTACCATGACCTGACTCTAGGTCATATTCGACCAATATCACAGCACTCATCTTACCTTTTTTCTGTCTTTGTGTCTGTTTCTTGCATCTGTGAATCACTCTTCTGTTCCCCACCCCTCGAATTTCTGTTACTTTGATGTCCCTTCCCCTCTGCGAAGCCCGAAGTCAGCTAAATGGCTAATGGCTAAATGGCCTGACATTTGAAATAAATGAATATTAATCAGACTTAACAAATGTGTTTGGCCAACCCGTTCATTGCTTGAGCCTCTTTGGAAATCAAAACCCACAAACTCCAGAGTCAGCATAAATCTAAAGAAAGGCGGAATTAAACTCTCAACGCCCTTAAGATCGTACGGTCCTCTTTTAAAATGACATCCATTGGTACTTGACTCGTAACAGAAGGCGCGCTATTGTCGATGAAAACATGTTCAATGCATCGATTCCCTTCTCTTGAAACCACCAAAGCTCACCATGTTGGCGGTATCAGTCTGCTGTGGTTGGGTGCATTATTTTTCTAAAAAAAGTTTTAAATGGATCGGTTGAAAACTTGTCAAGTAAATGCCAAAATATTGCTGTTTTGTAATAACACACAAAACAGGCCATAGTAAGTTCCCCTTAAGAGAAATCGTCTTTTTTCAACTTCCAGAAAAATTTTCTGGTCGCCGCTAGGAGTGTTTTGATTATTCTAAAGTGCTTACTGATGCATACAGTATAATGAATAGTTTATACATGAGACAAATAACCTCTTAGGGCTTGAGAAATCTTGCAAATCTCAAATAATTTTCAAGTTTTCAGTTTGGTAAATTAAAGCAAATTTAACTTGATGTTGTATTACTTTCGGGTAAATTCTTGAGGACTATGAAAAGAATATTCCTGGTCAGAAAATACTGCCAGTAACGACTTTCCGAGATAGACATCGGACAATAACTGGAATTTGTTATAATTATCATCGATTTCCAAATCGTTATTATCAAATATTTAACTTTTTAGTTTGTGATCAATGCTCTTCAGAATGTTGAAACATCGCGGAGCTTGGCAAACGATGAAGGAGTAAAACGTCTCAGTTACACCGAGTGTCTTTTTTTCAAAGTTACTTCAAATAAGTTGAATCCGAAAAAATCTCATAATGCCACGAGTATTGTAGGAAATATGAATCTTTGTCCTTTATGAAGGTGAAAATTTATCCAATTAATGAAATTCTAATAAATAAAATACCTCTTTTGTCTTATCATCAGATTCTAACGTGGGCTTACAAAAAGTTGCATTTCTTGATTGCAACAAATAATTACCAGTGAATTTTAATGTTTTCAGCCTGGTTTAAATTTAAATAATTTGGGTTGGTCTTGCGGCTTCATTTCGTAAATGATTGAGAGGACCAGAGTTTGTTGTCTATATTACAACAACTTACAGTTTAAATTTGGCCACGATAAACTTACTTCCACGTGGTGCACCCTGGACAAAGTATACTCCATAAATTGGCAGTTGACCTCTGACTTCAAACGACCATGACCCGACTGTATGTTCTATTCGACCACTTCAGCAGTGCTTACCTCAACTTACCTTTCTCCGTACCTTTGTACCTGTCTCTTTTACACCTGCGAGTCATTCTTCTCTTCCCTCCCCCCTCTCGACTTTTTTGTGACTTAGTTGTCCCACTCTCTCCCTCTCTGTGAATCCCGAAGTCAACTAAAGGGCAATGATAACAAACATAAAGCTTGCTACTTAAAGTAAATAAGGTGGCCGAGGGGAAGTAGATACAACTTTTAATTTAATAACAACTCCTCGATCTGTGTTCACTTAAGGTGGAAGATATGTGGGGTGTGCAATGCTACTAAAGATGGGCAAAGGAGTTTCACGTACTAAAAGTTTCTAGAAGATGCTTCCATGCTATCGATCACATGTCGAGCAAAAGTGGTGTGTGTTTGCCGACCCCTCCATGAGACGGTAATCTTGGCTGGTGGGGGATTTATTCTAGTGAACTCCTCAGGCGACTTCTTAAAAAACTACCAAGGTTTATTCAAGGACTTATTTGTGCAGTATCTTCTGCTCACCTATAATGGTAGAGGCATTGGTATACTTTGCTATTTATGTGAAAGTTCAATTCTCCCCCCCCCCCCCCCCGCCTTCCCCAAACTTGTCGCGTTTCTTGATAGGTGCTTATATTGGCAAAAACATTAAACTCGATTCTAATTCTTACCACTGAAACTACTAATAATTCCTATCGTTTGGTCAATATTTCCCAACTACTTTTCACTTTTCATTTATTGACATATTTGATGTGATAAACTGATTCGCCAATAGCACAGAGAGCGATTACATAAGTAATTTCACCGCCTGGGAAATTGACTGACAACATGAACAAAATTAAAGCACAAAATTGATCTGAGGTATTTGATGACTAAATAATGGTTTAAGAGGGAATTAGAAGGAATTTGGCCTATATTTTTGTCGCTCTTTTTACAATTTAGCACGATGGCAGAGGAAGGTATTCCTTGCAGTATCACTTTGATCTCAACTCCTATAGTTATCTATTTGGTTAAGTTAATCTTTAATCAGTATTTGTAGGCAACCTTTTGCAGAGTAGAATCCATTTCAACGCTTTATAATTAAAGCGTGCTCAATCCTAAAATTCTGATGGATATTTATCATACTGAAATATTATAAGTAGTCTGAAAAATAGCTCTTGTATTGCGGTGGAGGGAATGCTTAAACTGAATTATTTCCGAATTTGCAACGCAATTGACATAATAAAAAATATATTAGATTTTATGCCCAACAAAATGTTTTTTTAACAACTTCTTTTTTCCTTTGTAGTTGCAGTTTTTTTGGAGCTAACTTAGAGTTCAATGAGTTTTCTCCGATTCCTGAGGACAAAATTCCAGCATTCCTTGAAAGTTGTGTATGCATTGCATATTTGCAATCATTAAGAAATGTGAAATAACATCTCCCTATAGATTGACGATGCCCCAATAAACGCATTCCACGTCATGCATTCTGTTGCCTCCAAGTCTTTGAGGCAGCTTAGCTAATTTCGAGAGGTATTCCATACTGGGAGATTACCGAAGATATTCGTGTGTTCCAATCAGGAACGTAAGTTTTCAAAGTGATGCTATACCTTTTCTTACGATTGTCAAAATTTTGCTGTTTTCTTTCCAAGAACTCCCTGTTACGTAATTCGACTCAAAAATACGAGTTAATATTTCAGATCCGTTTTCTTATATAAATCTCACTTTGTGTTTTATTAAATGCTGCAATAGAATTTGCTTATCTCTTGCACTTGAACTTATTCCAAATTCAACTCATTATTTGCTCAATCAATTGATTATAACATTAAAAAGTGTTGAGAATTAATACAATCGGTATGGCAAAAGGTAGTATGTCGTTTAGTCACTGTTATACACGGGATAAATGACTGAGTTTTAAGGAGAGGACATTAAATGGGAATATGAGAATCCTAGCTGGGATGATTTGATCAAGAAATTTTAAATTGACAAAAAAGTACAAGAACGCTAACGATTGACATTTTGTAATTTAAATAGCAATTAGTTTAAATGCCATAAATATGACATATCATAGTCGATTGTTACCCAATTTAGCTTTGACTTACCATAGGTAAGTCAACGTGGTAAAATATCCTAGTACAAATAGGCTCTCTAAACGAGGTAATCTATTGAATTTATGGCAACGGTAAAGGTGGTTAGTAACTGAAAAAAATTAACACGAATGAAAATTAATAGTTTACTAGAAGAGAAGGCCTCAGCAACTAGGACCTCAGCCTCCACAATGTTCCAGCGCTCGTGAGAGCTTGAAGTTTAATAAGTACTGGGATCGCGTACCAAACAATACACGCCGATGCAACACGTTGAAAAAATAAACAAGATGGTATGCATATCATCATCATGCATCAATTTTTTTATTTGCGATTGCGAAAACACTGTGATCAGTTTTCAAATCATTATTTTCTGGCATTCATCTACCTGCCAGACAGTCTATCATTTGACAGGTCCGCTTTAAATGTTCGAGTTAGTGCCTCCTAGTCCGATTTCACTTGCCACGAGAGAGAGTGATACCCAAGGCCCAAACAAAATTTCCCCATTTGGGGTATGCTAAATGCTCGATAATGAGGGCACATCGACTTTACAGTGGAATTTCCCAAACGACTTTCGCTTTCTTTAAAACCCACCTGAAGTACCTTAACAATCTATTCCTATGCGTAGATTCAGGGGCACTATTCGTAGACATTAGATAGGATTTGAACTTGTGCAATTCAGAGATCATTGCGCCACTAAACTTAAGGTCTAAGTTTAACTAAGACAACCTAGCGCGTAATATCCAGAGATAACAGTTTATATACACTAAATTATCATTATTTCCAATGGAATAAATACAGGCACAATTTTACAAATTTTGTTCGACTTCGCCAAGTTCACTTTTTTCCACCACCTCTTCACGCACTTCAATCCGCTCGCTTCGTCCCATAATCACAGGTATAGAAGCATCCAGTCCACACAGCCTCATAATATGAACCCTCTCGTGTCGATCAATATAGTGCCTCAAACTTCGAACTCCTCTCCATCCAGAAAAAGCAATTCTACAACGTGGACGGAGGTTTGCATTCTTGATCTCCTCACACAAGTTCGGATCTGCTGGCGACTCGGGATCATAATCAATAATTACCGGTCCAATGCTCAACTTCTCCCATTGATTCTGTACTGCCTCGGAGAATTTTTTCGCAAGGGGCATTTCTTCTTTAAGAAGTAATAGCAAGTCCTCTCGTTCGCTTAATGACAAACTGATTCGCCTATGACAGAGCTGAAGTACAAAAAGCGCAAGTGAATCGATCTCAATCACTTACTTTATTTAAGTAGAACGATAGAACTAACCTGAGGTGGATGTTGCTTTAGTTCTCTGGGAATTTGTGGTAAGAATGCCGTAGCCAAATTAATACCATCATGGAGAAGTCTATAACCCTCAAATTGCTTGTCTGAACTGACAGCAAAAAGTTTAACTCCACCACTGACAATGTGGACAACTGAGAAATAAAAAGAAGACTTAGATCAATAGATATAATGGTAAATTTGATGCCAGATTACCCACCTCCATTGTCACTATTAGCTTGAATGACGCGTTTGACTAGATTGTTAGTATAGTAGAGATTACGCCTTCTAATTGGCTCTCCGACTTTGCTAACACGGTAGAGAATTTGAGCAGGGTTAAGATGGAAAAGGCACTTGGATTTTCCGTCACTTTCATCATCAATACCGTAGTAGGAACGAATAATTGGCCAGTCCTTGTCTGTCTCTGGATCCACAAAAACAAAGTCCTCGTCGCGTTGTTGATTTGTCAGCATACGTGCTTTCTTCGCATTGGAGGGATTACTTTCGCTTTCGTCTGAAACCCGAGTTTCGGTACCTAAGAGTAGAATTATAAGAGTGAAGTTATAGCAAAAGAACTAAAGCATTATCAAACCCTGCCAGACTGGTGAAAAATTCATACAAATTATAGGAGATAGGCAGGTGAACAACAACCCCAGCTCATTAAAGCTAATGAACTAAGGGTCCGCACGTTCCGACATGATGAGTAATTATGACTATTTTAAGCCCCCCTCCCCCTATTGATTTAGCGGCTCATTAAATTTAAGAAACAAATATCTAGGAGAAAGATCGAAATGAAATCTTTTCAATCAGGTAAAGCTCAGTAGATAGGTTCCATATTGCAAGAGAGGTGTTGAAAACCTTCCAAGCCCATCAAGAACAGTATTCGCAATACTTGATTCAATTAGATGGAAGATAGTTTAGAACTTACGCTCTATCACCTTTCATTGGTCAGAACAAGGATTTGATTGCTCACCAATGAACGTGCACAGATTAGTATCGACCTCGTGACCTCTGACTTGGCTGATGTGCCCGTTGGCTACTACGCCATCGGTGCACACAGATTAGTACTAATTGCCTTCGCTCGTTCCAGGGACAAATAAAATCCCGAACTAATCATAATAACAGAGACTGAAACCCTCTTCCTCCAACACCTCCCCCCCCCCCCAACACCCACCTACAATTTACCTTTCTTCTCACTTCACAATACTTTGATGTTATTTAGCCCAAAATAACTTGAATATAGCTTAATTTTAGATTTGCAATCTATAGATAATATCTCCTTGTAAAATAGAAGATAGCTTACCATTGCCAGCCGGCACAAAATTCTTTTTGAGAACCTTTGGCTTACTATTCATCCAGGGAAGATCGGCGACTTTCTCGAAAACGGCAATAAAAAATCCACCTGTATTTTGATCATGGGGAAGAACACGGCGACAGAGCTCGAGATTTAATTCGCCTATGTTTTCAGGAGGGAAAAGACTTGGCTGGAGGGAGTTTCGTTCTCTGTAGGCACACGAAAAGAAAAAAAATTTGTGTTTGCCTCAATAGTAAAGACAATTTAACCCGGAGGTAGATGACCGCTATCAATTGATGTAATTCTAAATATTGAATTTTTACAATATACACATATTTTACCGGATATGTCGTGTCAAAAAACATGCATACAATGAGCAAAAGCTAACTCGGGCTTAATAAGGGATATAACTAACCACTGCCACAATGATATCTAGAGATTAGGAGAAGGCAACCCTGTATAAAGGCAAAACTTTATTAAAATAACTTCCTGTGACGAAGTTGAAATTCGAAATAGTGCAACGAGGCATGAGAGAAAATCGGATACCAAATGAACTTCTTTTAAGTAATTCTCCAATTGATTCCATACAGCATTCAAATAGCACGCAGGTTTAATATGAAAACTGTGATTAAAAAAATCTTGTAATGTGTGCTATTTTATTCTGCAACAAAACTCTTCTTGCTTCAGACCCAAATCAAGAAACAAAAAAATACGAACCTGTCTGGGACATCATCGAGTTTTTCATACCATTTGTCAGAACCCAACAAAACCTTCCAACTCTTCAAACCCGATCTGGCCACAAAACCCCCGTTTTTCGCAGCTTCAGAACCCGGCAAACACATCAAGTCCGGTTCAATCAATCGGACGGCTCCTTTACAAGCATTAAGAATCGCTGCAACTACGGCCTCATCTTCGATCGGGTTTAAACTACAAGTAGAGTAGACCAAGCGTGGAAGGTCTGTTTCGTCGGTAGATGCAGGAATTCGAAGCAGTTCCAAACCACGCTTAAGAATTCTCTTCTGGAGATCATGTTGACCCCTAGCAAGCTTGGGAGTCCATCTAGACCAAAGGTCAGGATTTTTCCGCAGTGTACCATCACCACTACAGGGAACATCTGCGAGAATTCGATCAAAGTATAGCTGACGAAATTCATCAGGATTTTCAGGACAGTCTACAAAGAATCGAGGGTAAACTGAGGCGTCTTCTTCGGTGAGAATTACACATGGACTCTGAAGACGCTTGACTTGATGAATCATCATGAAACAACGTTGACGATCTAGATCGTTTGCTACGATAATTCCAGAGGGCTCAGAGTATTGATCACCGTGAATAGATTTCGATTCAGCGTCAGCATGGAGCAACTCTACAAGTTGTGCTGACTTGGATCCGGGAGCAGCACACAAATCCAAAACCGAATGATGCTCTTTGATTCCCAAAACGAGCGGAGGAAGCATACTCACAGCTTCCTGCCTACTCAAATTTCCAGCTTCATTTTCGGTAACAAGAAATTTTTGAAGCTCCTTTAGCTCGGGCGTTTTACGAATGGCCAAACGCGTTGAGTTAATTTGATAAGCTGTTTCTCCAGGGTACCATTTAAGGGGAACAACAGAAATTTCATCACCAGAATCATTCAGTGTTCTTTCGAATAAGGAATGTAAATAATTTTCTTGAAGCAGTGAAAGAAGGTCCTTGTTCTGTTGACGAAATCCAGTTATTCTGAAGGTAACAGGGAGGGTAGTTTTCATCACATTTATAAATTGTTCCAGTTCTCCATCGTTTAGCTGGAGTTGGTTTTTATAATAAGACACAAATGTAGGATTTGACAAATCGAAAGACCCCAATGCCTTAGCACCAAACCTACAACCGCGACGCCTACCCATGCTTAATGATAGAAAATTGGTAATGTTAAGGGCACACATGTGTAGAGGTCACAAGCGCTTTAAATTTATTATGAAAAGATGTTTTTAATATATATGAAAATTTTATTTGAAAAATTACAGATAATTTTTTGAAACATAAAAATTTTAAACATTGCCGTTTTATCTGAGTCACTTTCTCTGTTTGATTATAAATAATTATAATCTAATAAGAGGTGCTCTACTAACTTATCTCTACAATGAATCTAAGCGTTGTTCCAATGGTTTACATGACCGCGCGCATTGCATAAATTGGCGGCAATATGACACATAAGCAGATGGATGTTCACTTGGAATCACTTTATAATGAATTAGGAAGGGCTTCTAAGACTGCTTCTTATTCAAAAGTCGTTACTACCTGTGATAAAAGTTGGTTCTTCTTTTGTTTAATTCCGGTGTAGTATTGAAGTCTTTTCCTGGTGACGATTATGCTCTCAAATGCAAAGCAGTTGCTCTCATTCACCAAGATCGATTCGATGATTGCTTGGAGTTTTTCCGAAAGCAGAAGGTTGAGTAAGTGGGCATTTTTATTTCATTTCCTCTAGCAATCTATATCTGGAAAAAGCTTACTGTGAATATCGTCTAAATCGATTTGTTCATGCATTAAAGACTTTATCCAGTTGTCCTGAAGATACACCCGGAATAATTGAACTCAAGGGTCAAATTGTAAGCTATACGCCCCGTGTTTACACTTATTTTCTTAGTATTATCGCCTTGAAGAGTTTGAGAATTCCATTAAAGAGTATGAAAAGCTGACAAAGATTTGTCATGATGATTATCAGGATGAACGCCTTACTAATATTTTAGCTGCAAAGGCTGCTCTTTCATATTTCCAAGGAAAACAAGTTCCACTCAATTATTCTTCTGCTCTTTTTGAAACTGATTACAATGCTGCTTGTTATTACATAGGACGTGGGAACTATGAAAAGGCAATGGAATATCTTGAAAATGCTGAGAGTAAGAAGTTTCAGTAATTTTATCTTTCTTAGAACTATGTAGGGAGACTTTTGAGGACGATGCAGGTGTGACAGAGGACCAAATAAATGAAGAACTTGCTCCAATTAGAGCTCAAATGGGATATATTTTTCAACAGCAAAACAAGATAGAAGCTGCCTCGGAGATCTATCATACCATTTTACGCGAAAAGTATGTCTTATTAGTATAAACATTCTTTCATTTTAGGTCTGGTGATCCATCGCTGATGGCTGTAATCTCCAACAACCTCGTTTGTATCAACAAGGACCAAAATGTCTTCGACACAAAGAAACGAATCAAGGCTGCATCTATTGATGGTCTGCAGTATAATCTTTTCCAATCCCAAAAGAGTGTTATACTGGCTAATCATGCTCTATTTTCTCTGAACAATAACCAATTTGATATTTGTGATGGAAAAGTTAAGGCGGCTTTAGCCGAAGATCCAGCGAATGTTAAAGCGGTTGTGCTTTCTGTGCTTAGTGCATCTAGAAGAAAACACCCTGAAGAGGGAATCAAGATACTGGAGGTAAGGGCTTGTTTTTTCAACATTGCTTTTGTTAGAAATTCACTCAATCCCCTCCCTTTGAAGAAGTCGATGAAGAGAATCGCCTGACTATCGCACTTCTCCTCCTTCATCTCAAATTAGCTTCAATTTCAAATGTTTCCCTTAGTGGCACTCAGTTGGTTGCTCCTCTAAAACAATCTAAACTTACCTCTGAATTGGCTAAAGACCTTGCTGATAATGTTCTTGCGAAAATCCTGAAAGGTGATTCTTGTTATCTACCTTTAGTGGCCTCTTTACGGGTCGCTCTCCTTTTCGGAGCTAAAATTGGCGACTCGGATTTGGTGGACGCAAGCTCTGCTATGGAAGCCAAAAAAATTGTCAATCAAACACTTGACTACTGGGCTAAGAGGCCATCAGATGTGAGTCATTTACTGAAATCAATTTCAGTAGTTTTGATCAAAGCTTCTAATATTCTGTCACTTTGGTATAGGTGGTTGATTCCGACACCCTCCTAACACGCTGTATTGACTTCTTTCGTCTCCATGGATTTGCTGAGGATGCCGCTCGTTTATTAGAGCAGCGGTTGGAGAGCTTGAATGATGCTCCCACAAAGAATGAACAACAGAGACAGAGTCTTCTAGCTCTCCTTATCCAAGCTTACTCCAAATTTGACCACGAGAAGGCTAGTCAAGCGAGTCGAGATCTTGATTTCAAGAATAAGTTGTCAGAGAAAGAAGTCGATTCTTTGGAGTCCATGTTTTTGTTCAACATTAAGAGCATCAAAAAGAATGTTGCAAAGGCTGCGAATGCTACACCTAAAGCGTGAGTACAATTCTCAAATTTGCAATCAATTTGAGCGCCTATCACCCCCCCCCCCGAAGCATATGGTTTAGATTCACAGCTGTAGATGTTCAATTTTGTCTCGTAATTGTGCCTGTGTCTCAATGGCTTTTAGGGAAATTGTTTTCTATTATAAAAATCTCTTCAATATTAGAGAAATTTAAAGACGTGGATGCTAGTCTACCATACATCCCTCGGTATTCAGTATAATATTGCTATTTCATGGCGAAAATCCTCCCTATTCATATATTCTATGCTTTATGTTTTAAATTCTAACATCTTTTTTTTATAGCACTGCAGGCGGCAAATCTGGTGGTGATACGGTTGCTAAGCCACAACAACAGCAACACAAGAAAAAGAAGCGTCGAATTCGTTTGCCCAAGAACTACGAACCTGGAGTTCCTCCTGATCCGGAGCGTTGGCTACCCAAACGCGAACGAACTGGCTACCGTGGAAAGCGTCGTGATAAGAGAGACAAACTCTTGAGGGGTCCACAGGGAGCCACATCGGCTGCTGCTCCTGAATTGTAAGTCCAACAATTGGTACTTATTTTACTTAAGTAGCATGGGGAAGGCCCTTCTTTGGTTAGTGCCTGACGCTGATCAATAGGCGTTCGCCAGATGCTTGCTACTTATTCTGAGTATTTTCAGGATGTTTTGCTTACTAAGTCGAAGGTTATTAAAAACCTCCTCATGCACTGGAAAATTATTATTCATATATAGGCGCCTGCACTATTTATGTAGAATTTGTTCTTAACGTAGTGGCTACGTGGTTTTCTGTTAGGTCAAAAAATCATAACTCACCGTTGCATATCCTGTTGTCCGAGTGATTTCTAACAATAGATAATGTCGGTCAAGAGGAGGGTTTTGAGTTTTAGATTTTCAAGTAGCCTCCTAATTGGTGAACAACTCATCAGTTGTTGATTAAAATAAATATTAACCTAATCAAAATAAAGGGAATTTCGGCCCCTGCTCTGTGTTCTCTGTGAAATCAATTTGTCAACTGCTAAATAGCTGTGGATCAAGTAAAAGGCAAAGTTTGCGCTCAAAGAAAACCTTCTTCCATACTACACTTCGACCATATAAATGGTCGGATGAATGCGAAGAAACTTCTGATCGAAGTAAAATGTCCTGCTGAAGCGCAAAGAGTGTAGTTATTTCCCTATTAGAACAACTTTTGTTCAGATTAAAACCACCCCACGCGGAATAGGGATGACTTCAAACCAAGTGGCCGAATCGTTAGGATTTTGGGGTGCTTCCTAATTCGAAACCAAGTGATGCAATACGATGCCCATCTCTTCCTCCCCCGCCATGTTTAAAGGGCCCTTAGCTTGAATTCTGATGCTTAGGTGGAGCCGCTGACCACTCTAATTTTTAAGTCCCCTTTTTTCCTGCTTTTCGTATTCTTTTATATCAGATTGCATGTCAGGTTTTTTCCCCCACCATCCCAGCAACTTTCACTAAGCTTCGATTCTTACCCATTTATTCGATACTGTTCCCATTCGGAGACAACATGGTTAATTAGAGCAGTTTTAAGTTCTGTGTCATATATCCGCATCGTAATAGTCGTATTTAGATCACTTTCCTTACCAATTGACCTTTTGATAACTGCGAGTTCAATCTGACAACTAGTACATTTTCGATTTTTAGGGACATGGGAAAACCGGCTGTGCAGGTGAATTCTACTCCTCCTAATCAAACGCCTTCAAACACCGCTCCAAGAAAGGTCCAACCCGGCAAACCTCATAACAAGAAAAAGGGGAAGAAGCGCTAGCCAAGACCATGAATCCAAATCCACTTAGTAAATTTGTCTCTATCGCATCAATAAAATGGCAATTTTCCTACATATGGCTTTTAAGTAATGGCTAAAATGGTTCTGTAAATCCAATAAATGACTGTATTAAAGGAAGAGTCAAATGTATAACGAGGAACAAATAGGCCATGAGCATACGTACAAAAATCAGATGTACAAATTTGAGAGAGGGAATATGAATAGAAATGGTCTACTGCATAAAAGCTGCACACCAATAATCAAGGGCATCGAAACAATCCTTGGCCTGCTTTTGGTTAGCTGAAGAGGTTATCTTCATCCAGTCAATGAACAGCTCTTCATCTTTGTTAAGAAGTAAGTATTGGCCGAGAACATTGTATGCCATGTTGTATCCCTTCTTCTTTAACCTAGTTCCAATAACTTCTCCAACACCTGGTAAATCCATAACTGATTTGTCACCGATAGGTTCTGAGACGAAATTACGATGCTTCTGTGAGGTGGACATCTGTAAAGTTATAAACTTACGAAAATAACTTTGTATAAAATTTTAAAATAAAAACATGAGAAAATTAAATAAACAAACTACAATACGTTACTCAACCAAGAGACAGATTACTTCTAAAATGACTAACGATACCCGTAAGACGAATTTTTGTACTTGTGAAAATAATTGAATACAGATAAACAAAAGTAATTGATAAATGAAAGCAAATTAAAAATATTATTCTATTTCTTTTACTGTGCTTTTTATTTGCATAAAATAAACGTGTTAATTTGTTGTCTTAATTCTAATTCATGCTTTGAAAATCATAAATTTAATGCTATTTCCATATCAAATTAAAAAATATATCCATGACACATATACTTGCATAAAGTTTTTTTCTATTTGCAACTACTTTTAACCCACTATTCCATTACCCTTCGTTGCAATTTCAGTTGTCCTGGGCTGCTGTTAATTTATTCCTTACTGTGCGTTCACATGATTTAACCCAGTATATTCTTTGTTATTAATTTAATTAAGTTGACCAACCCATCTAACAATATTTCAGAATTCTTGATACGGCTGATCTGCTATTATTTTTGTTCCATTCTTGTTATCGCTTAATTCATTTTATTGGTCTAGTAATTAGGTATTCCTTAACGTCATTAAATAAATTTAGTTTATCCAGTGCGTTTTAATACTTAATTTCTGTCACAGGATTCCTCTATCTATTTCAACTTGTAAAAAGTAAATGTTTTTCTTTCTATTTCTTATCCAAAGCTAATACTTTTATACTTCTTTAACGTTTTATCTACATACTTGGATTATACTTTATTTGTCACTTCTTTTTTCCCTTTTCAGTTTTTATCTTTTGCAAAGATTCCGCGAAGGTTTATGTTGTTTCGACGCCATAAAATGGCGTCAGATGAAGAAATGTTGGATGTCAGTTTCCCGCGCCAGTATATGTCTCTTTCAGCAATGGACAATCCTCTAACAGGTAAATGGTCATTTTAATACATCACATGCGCCATCACGTCGGTTAATATTTGTACTAAACCGATATCTAGAAGCAACTAAGTATTTTGTCTTGTGTAATTTAATTAAAAGGCCAAAGAACTGACTCAGATGATTCAATGTTGCCAATAAGTTCCGTAAACATACCCATGCACGGACTTAAGCAGAATTCAGGTAGCCTTAATCTTAACACCCGATTCCCATTACCTCATAAACTTGCTCTTCCAATAACCTAACACAAGTTCTGTCTCCGCTTTTCTTTTTCCACTGCTTACTTTCACCTCTACCCTCAACTAGATGATTCGACTGAAAATGTCCTTGGAATTTTTCCCCCCTCAAATCCTCGCAATTATGTGCGATTGAGTACAATTGGTAGGTTTGGTTTTTCTTGGCTCCCCAATGTATTCTTTAATCTCTTCCTCTTCCGTCACAATATTCGTTCGCTTTTGATTTTCTCACACCCTTCGCCGTTTTCGCCCCTTTGTGTTCGTTTTTTTCTGTTCCCATGTTCGTTTATTCATATCTCTTACCAGGGCTCATGTTTTTCGCAATTAAGATCCTGATGATAATGAATATAATGATCGGAATCGAATCCAATTTTCACCCGGCAATGAAGATATTTCGTTTAAATCTGTTCGGCGGAGTTATGACGAATATGATACGGTAGATTGGGTTAAAGACCTCAGCAAGGATAGTGACAGACGAGCTAGAATGGAACAACACGCAAAAGTGAGTTTTTTTCATTCAATTTACTTGAGACATGCAAATTACGTATTATTTCATGGTGTATTTCTCACAGACTTACTTTGAGTTTGACTGACTTAGGTTTTCCTAATTGTAGTATTATTGGTCTGTTTGAAATGAGCAACCTCTCTCTAAGGCTTTATCTCATATCCAGTTGAATGAAAGAGTTGATGGATAATTTAACTCCACTGGCCATTTAAAGTTGTCGAGTTTCATGCAGATGACATTTTTAAGCAATTCGACTTCTTATGCAATGTGAACAAATTTACAACTTATTCTGATGTGATTATTTTCCAATTGTTGCTTTTAAACTTGTGTACTACCTAATATTCTGTCCATTCACTTCGTATGTTACCGCGTATACTATATGAGTCGTTTATTAGGTGTATTCATGTTGATGACAGACGAAGTCTGTCTTTTCTCCTTCGGATATTAAATCATTCAAGATGTTTGCATTCCCCCTTCTGGTTCAAGATTATTTCTACATTGGTAGTAATAGAGCGTGGTTGAGAGCTGTGTGTTGTTCTTTTGTCGAAACATTGAGCTTGGCTTTCTTTCATCACAAAGCTCATATTTTCAATTTTTTACTCTGATTTATTTTCACTATTCATTTAACTGCCGAGTCCGAGTCTATCTAATAACGCATTTTCTATTGTCTGGTACTCTTCCTTACTTCATTTTACCTATTTTTGTCGCATCTTCTCTGACTGCTTCATTCATGCGTTCTGTAGTCTGCTGTTCTATTCTGCATCATTCATTTCTGCCCTGTTGCTTGTGCTAATAGGTTAAATGGTTATTAGGCAATCTAAATTTCGCTGATTTATTGAAATATTGCACTTGGTTTTTATGACTAGTATAGCTTTGAGGTCACTGCTATAATTCGTCAAATGAGTCGTTTTGCAAGACTATTTTATGTTATTGACGGTTCTTATATTATTATTTATTTATATCAAATGACAGGCGTCTTGATGGTTATCATTAGCCCTTTAGTTGACTTCAGGCTTCACAGAGAGGAGGAGGAACATCAAAGTGAAAAAGTCGGGATGGGGGGGGATAGAAGAGTGTTTCAAAGATGTAAGAGACAAACACAAAGGTGGAACAAAGGTTAGATGAGTACTGTGTAAATATTCGAATATGGCATAGAGTGAGGTGATGGTAGTTTGAAATGAGAAGTCAACTGCCAGTCAATAGACTTTTTTGCCGTATGAATATACGTTGCCCAGGGTGCACCACGTGGAGGTAAGTCTATCGCACACCCCCGGTTCTTATATTAGAAATGGAAATAACAAATAGGTTTATTTGTGGCCAAAATGATCACTTAAAAGTGAGTTCAACTCCTACCTGTATCTTCTAAGTTTTATTAAGCGGTTCTTTCTTACCCAAAATGGTGATAGCATTCTACTTGAAGACAGGAAGTAAAAACATTTTACTTTAATGCTACGATCATTTTAGCCTTCAAAGTAAACCTTATTGTGATGTAATAGTAGTTTCTTTGTTTTTATTTGCAAAAAATATGCTTGTTTCTCAAGGGCTTCATTTTGCCTCAAGCGGAGTTTGATTAATCTGAAATTTTTTTTTAACTTAAAGCTTAGTATATCACCAGGTGTACCTTTTGGGATGCTTTCGAATCACCATCCCCTTACTTATGGTCGTGATTAATTGATCTGATTTATTCCTTCGGTTGAAATAAGTATTTCCTAGTTAGTTCGTTCTTTGTTTATTGTCTGTCTTACTCCCTTTAATGACTTTCCTTGTTGGTATCATTTACGGTTGTTCTTATCCCTGTGTTTACGATTTGATCGTTACCTCTGTAATTGAATATAAACATTTTGAATTAAACGTAAGTGCTATAGATAGGGTAAACTGGTTGGCTTAGTATCTTAGTTTTAGCGTTTTGTTGACTTTTTTTCCGAGTCCTCATTAGCTCTGATTACCCAGAGAAGTTTTGGGATAGAGAAATAGGAAGACTTCTCATAGTAGTTCAAAAGTGAAGTTTTCCATGCTGAAGCTGCTTCCATATCTACACAATCGTGTAATTTTGAATATTCATTCATTAATTTTCAGTACTCATTCCTGGGCCAGCTCCTTCTAATCTGGGATTCAAGCTCTGGTTGGATATGTGTTGGACTGATCGGCGCTTTGATAGGTATATTTGCAGTGATGGTTGACATTGGTGTCAGCTGGCTCTCCAGTCTCAAAGAGGGTGTATGTCGTGATCAATTCTGGCTTAATCAGGAGCAGTGTTGCTGGTCTTTCAACATGACTGTCTTCTCTCCACTCTACGGATCATTTTCTTCTACCAATTCCACTTCTCCGCTGCCCATTACAAACTCAACACCACCACCACCACCACTAATGGTGACTGATTCAATAGCAGCGAACTCGTCTCTTTCTAGCTTAGCTAATTTGACGATGTCATCGAACACCACAACGATCATCCATCCACATATTGCAGGAAGTGGTGCTCAAGCTGCGTTTGGATTTTATTCCTGCGAACAGGTTCGCTTACTCATTTCTGTACATTTTCTGATTTGCCAAGATTTTTTCCCCATTTTTTTTCACTGAACTAATAACTGAATCGACAAATGCCAGCTTTATCATTACTACTTGTAGCCAGGTTAGTCATTTACATTTCTTTATTTACCTTAAAATTGCAAATTTTGCTCCAATTTTCGTTAGTCCTATTTTTGAGCCTTGATGTGGTTCTTTTAACCAACAACACTCTCAGTTCTCTATTTTATCTCCTTCATTTTACTGAAATTATTGAACGAAATCAAAGGCCTACATTTTCCTCTAATCGTTTATTGATTTGACCTCAATTATCAGGGGAAGATTGTTCGGTCCAATATAGTTTCAGCTGTAGATATTACGCAAAACATCCATAATTAAATGACAGGAGTTGGTGGAAGTGAGCAAGATTTTAGGAACAAGACGAGCGTTGTACACCTTTGTTCCTAGTACAAGCTCTTGTTCATTCTTTCGTAGGAAAAAATTACTTCAGTGCTAAATTTTAAATTTAATGTTGGGGGGGGGGGGTGATTATGTGGAGACAACATAATATTTACTATTTGCCTACTTTCGTTTTCCCTTCAATACAGCGTTTCTTGTCATTTATTTAATTTAACGCTTCATTAAATTGGTCCTTAATCATTGTTCCCTGTGATTTATTCTGCTACATATGATTGACAATAGAGGAACTGCAGAACATGTTGCAATATGTGTGTGCGTACTCCAATCCGGTGTTTTATGGTTGACTCTCTTGATTTTTTGACAATCTAACTTTCAACACATGCCACAACTTTCTGCATTATGGCAAAAGTCAGCATTTCCTCAAAATGCTAGTATTACACTCATTATCGTCATGGTATTGTTCACTATTTTTATTATCTGTGGTTATTTTAGCTCGATAACACAACGCCTTCCATTAATTCTATGCATTCCTAATAACGTCCTTTTCTAATATACATTGACTAATTCTTTAACCAGATGGTAGTAACATTCAAACTGCTTGCTTATCTATCGGTTTTTTTGGATCATAGGTAAGGTTTATCTACGTTCCCCTGTATGTGTCAGCGAAAGATAGGAGCCTTTTTTTGAGTTTGGTGGGTGATTGGTACTTTTCTGCATCTGCGCATTTTTATTTGTCCTGGTACACTTCGTGCCAAAATTGATTTCACAAATATTCGCCCGTAACCACCAGTTAACTCCTTATTAATTCACCTGCCAAGCATGTCGGCAATTTACCTTTGCGATGGTGTAAATGCTGTTCTAAGTACTAGCACATGTGTAGGTGCCAAATATTTCAGTTCATTGACCTATTTAGCCCTTAACACAATCACCTAAATAATTGCTTACCATCTCTACTTTTGGCTAATTTCTCCTTTGGAGGTGAAAATGTAATCGTCTTGTCCACATGAATTAGCAGTTGGCAGATCTATCCCATCGGAAATGTGACGCCCCTTAAACTTATTTTGGCCCGTGGGTCATATTTTACCCTATTGGAATTTTTCTCTGCCATTTAAGCTCTCCCTCTCTCTCTCTCTCTCTTCTTTATGGGTGCTTGGTACAAGTTTTTCTTCCATTTAAGGGCCTTGAAGATGGCTAAGTACAGTAAACAATTCGGCATTGTATTCACAAGTTTATTACGTGTTCTGTTTAACCTATAGTTGGTGGTATTTTTTGTTTGAGTAATCAAGATGAATAATAAGCCACAATTTTCTTTCAAAACTGTATATAGGCCTGCGCGTTTCGTTTTGAGAATGGGGTGTATTAAGAATGTAATCTGAGTAGATTTATATTAAGCCATGCCATATAGTTAAGGCAAATTAATATGGAAGGACATAAAGTCTATAAATGTTGAAGATAAGTGCCTGCCATCTTACCTCGATGGTCAAAAATTTACATTCTCATTCTGTGTGTAAAAAAGTGGTTTTTGGGATTATAAAATTCCTCTGTACCCGCGTTTCAATCATTTTGATGGATGACTCTTTTTATTTTTCCCTTGTGTAGTGGTACTCATGGGAGCGTCTGCTGACAGGCCATGATGGCGACTTGAGTCACTTTGGTGCTTTCATTCTCGGTTGGATTGTTTACGTTCTTCTTGCTGTTGGAATGGCTGGTCTCTGTGCCACTCTAGTCCACTTCTTGGCTCCATCTGCTGCTGGTGAGTTCTAATATTCATCCGGATTTCGAAATCTCTCGCTTCTGCACGCCATTCCTTTGCCAGCTTTTAATTATTTACTTAGTTTGCTATGTATGCAAAATGAATCGATCACGCTGTCTACTCGAATATCATTTTTTGGTAGTGTGAGTGAAGTTTTTCTGAAATTTCTATGCAGTTTCCTCAACTGTTTTTCAATGCTCCCAGTTGATACTTCAAAGGTCTTTTTGCCATTCATAATCTTTCATATGTACACTTTCTCAGCAAACTATTCTTTCTCTACTTGCTTTCCCTAAAGAAACACTTGCATCGGATATTTTAAAATTCATTTTCAGTTGATTAGATTTATTGGAGGATATTTTCGTTGAGTTGAATGCTTGTTTTTTTACTCTTCTGTAGGCAGTGGTATTGCTGAAGTGAAGACAATCCTTGGAGGCTTCGTGATTCGCAACTTCCTAGACGCCTGGACTCTAATAGTGAAAGTTGCTGGTTTGATTCTCGCCGTGTCAACAGGTCTCTGTATCGGTAATGACGGTCCAATGGTGCATGTTGGAGCCTGTTGTGCCAAAATCCTCGCCCGATTCTTCCCCAAATATGGACTGAATCCCTCTAAACTTCGAGAGGTATGTTTGAAACCTTCCCATTTTTTTCACCTAATTCAGATCTTTATTGTTCGGGGAAAAAAGCATAAATTGACCTCAAAATGTCGGAAATGAGAGTCGAGTATGCTTTGCCAGTTATGTTTCATTGTGATCAACCACGTGTTAAATTGATTAGTTTCTCCTTCTCTTCTCCATGCTTCTGCTGTTAATCTTTCTACTCTGGTCAACAAAATGGCGTGCATTTCTTTTCCTTTGTTTTAAAAACTGAAGATTTTAAGCTACTTCCCCTGAAAATGTTGACTCAAGTTTCTCACGGTTATGCTCCAGGACACCCTAAAGGTAATAATGTCTAACGGAGGCTATGTAAAACACGTCTGAACTGGGTGTTTTTGGTTTTTTTTAATCATTGAACAAAAAAACATAAGTGCTGGATCCTGAGTTGTGTCTATCGATGTAGGATGCAGAGTTTGAGGATGCTTTAGTGCGCATATGAAAGCAAGTGCTTGTTTGTGAACTGAAGGTAGAAAGGACATGTGATCGAAAACAAAAAAGTCGTATATGGAGTGTGGGTCTGACTATCAATACACCTCACTTTGTGCCTTTTAAAATGTTGATCTACTTGTCACCGAAGTAGTGCATTCTATAAATGAATGCAGTGCAATATTTTCTCTTTCAGTTGATATCGGCCGCAGTCGCGGGCGGTATGGGCGCCTGTTTCGGTGCTCCTATTGGTGGAGTTTTGTTCTCCCTTGAAGTCGCAAGCTACTACTTCCCCGCCAAAACCCTCTTCCGTTCCTTCTTCTGTGCTCTCGCTGCTGGCTATGTGGCCAGGGCATTGAATCCCTTTGGAGAGGAGCATCTCATTCTGCTCTCCGTGGACCACGACACTAATTGGCACTTTGTGGAGCTAATTCCTTTTGCTATCCTTGGAGTCTGTGGTGTGAGTCTCTTACACTTGGTTTATTTTGGGAGTTTTTTTATTGTGCAAATTGTTCCTACTCGAATTTTATGTGCCTTTTCCTTGTCTTTTTTTTGAATGAAGAAACCTTTTTTGCTTAAAAGTTGAGGAATGAATACTAGTATATCCTAGCTGCAAGTATGGAATTGTGTTTTGTGGGTTTTGTTTCCACAAGGCGCTAACAGCTGACGAACTAGATTTTGGCCAATCAAAATGATTAGATATAATGACCAATTATAGAAAGAGTGGGATACACATCATTAGATATGTGTTTTCACAATCCCATTTATGTAATTGATACCGCCTTTATATCATCACTTTTCTCAATATCATTTCCGGCTGATACTTGAATAGGGTGTCTTCGGTGCATTGGTCGTTCGCTGCAATCGGGCTGTGCAGAAATTCTGCCGGAAGCGATGTTCCAATCGTCCCATCACCTACCTCCTCATTCTCACCGCAATCTTTTCTCTTATCGCCTACCTCCATCCTGATCTGAGGGTGGAAGAGAAGCTATTTATTCGCAAGTTGGTCAGTTCTTGTAGTGCGGGCGATCAGGAGGACTTGTGGTAAGCACCTTTTACTAAAATGCACGTAATGTTTCCTTATGGTCTCATTTTCTTCACCTAGAAATGATATATCGACCTCGTAATTTCTTTTGTTTTTTAAACTCACACTTTCAACATTTCCTCTTTACTTTTAGTTTAATTGTTGTGATGTTTTTCCGCACTGCTTAAATTGTAATTTTTTAAGCGTACTTGTTGCATATGAGTGTATACCTCATGACGTTGTTCACAAATATTCATCCTATCTATTCTCTCTTGTCTATAACGAGCCCTCTTTAGCTATCAATCAGTCACAAGGGGATTTTAAGATCTCTTAATTGCAGCTTCATCTGCTTCCATTTCCCTCCATTTAGTGACTACCATCGTCTGCCCAAGGGTGGGTTTGGCAATGCCACAGTTATTAGTGAATCGAGTCTGGTGGGAAGTTTTCCCGCCGGTCCACGAATGGGTCGGGGTGTCGCCTTGCTTGTCGGCGCCCTTCTCTTCAAATTTGTCGGCATGGTACTGGTTTATGGTGTACCGGTGCCTACAGGAGTCATGCTACCCAGTATCATGGTGAGTAGACTGACTTATAAATTCAAATTTTATACTATTATGCATTGAATTTTTTTGCCAAAAATCTTCTATATTCCTAAAGAAAATACTTATTGTGTGCCTAACCTGCTTAAAGAATCCGATCTTTCGTATCGTGTTATCATATTGCGTCGATTTGGGTCGTTAAATTGTATCCTTCTGATTTGACTTCCTTCTCAAAGAGGTTCGAACCCCCCCCCCCCCCCCCCCCCCCCCTCCCCCCCTCCTTCTCTTCAATGTGTGATGGTGTGCCTCTGTCACGGTTAGTATAGGGCACAATGGCTTAAATAATTTTCTCTATCTTAAGCTCTCGAGTCTTAGGCGGTATATGGGGATTATTTATGCACATTCATTCCACGTGGCCTGTCTTCTTGCTATAATTTGCGTGGGCGTTTATGCCAAATCTATGCATATTTATATCAGTTTGTATCTATTTAATATAAACAGTAATCCGCATGACCAGCCTTCATGGCCTATTATGGCGAAAAACTCGTTTCGCTCGTGCGCTCATTTGATTTGTTAAAAAAATGTTTCTATTTACACAATGTGATTTTGGTCCAATCATTCGGGGAAGAAAGCACTTTCTCTTTATCAGATAAGACATGTGTAAGAATATAGGTTGAAAGGAAGCGTTCTCAATCACTCAGTTTAGAACACGGCGCCTCTTTGATAAGGAACTCACATTTCACTGTGTCCTCTGGCCTAGTTGATCATTAATTTAGTATTTAATTCACAAACCCCGCATTTAACCCATTCAATCACCTCATGTGTAAAAGTATACAAATCTGCTCGTAATTGGCTGCACAGTTGGATCTATCGTCAATAGTATTATGACAGGGTCATGGCAAGCAGATTCCAATGTCTAGACCTTACATTATACTACAGGTTGATATTTCAGATAGGAAGTAGACGAAACAAGTCCTCGTTATTATTTATTTATATCGAATGGCAGGCTTTATGATAGTAATCATCAGCCCTTTAGTTGACTTCAGGCTTCACAGAGGGAAGGAACATCAAAATGGAAAAAGTGGAGACGAGGTGGGGAACAGAAGAGTGTTTCAAAGACGAAGGTAGAAAAAAGGGTGGAACAGAAGAGTGTTTCAAAGACGAAGGTAGAAAAAAGGTGGGGTGAGTACTGTGGAAGTAGTCGAATATGGCATGCAGTTGGGTGATGGTAGTTTGAAGTGAGAAGTCAACTGCCGGCTAGTTCTGGTAGTTTGAAGTGAGAAGTCAACTGCCGGCTAATTGACTTATTTGCCGTATGAGTATACGTTGCCCATGGTGCACTACGTGGAGGTAAGTCTATCTCACACCCCGTCCTCGTAATTATAGTGTGCACCTATTCCTATTAAGTTCAAACCGTGTGCAGTGGTGTGTAATTCACTTTAGTAAATATAAACAATACTAAGGTTGGTCGTTTTTAAAATAATGTTGGCAAGAGGATAGAAAGTAAAATAGTGATCTAGTTGAGAGCAAATATTCCCTAATTTTGCATCATTTTATTTTCGCCTTGACAATGGTGTTAATTACAGTTAAGAAATGAATGCGGGTGTTTGTCCATGATTCAGTTGGTGCCTATTAATTCATTAGAGTTCATTTATCTACCAATTTTTATTTTATAATACTCACTTAAATGTACTATTCTCATTTTTTATTTAATAAAATGGGTTCTTTTATTTTGCTCTATTCCAAGTTCTGTACAATTTTTCGTCTTTTCGAACTGTATAAAAGTATATTTTGATGTTATCAATTGGCCTTCTCATAGGTGGGGGCAATCTTGGGCCGGCTGATGGGTATCACGGTGGAGCAAATTGTGGTCACCTGTCTCACTCCCTCCTCATCCTTCTATCGACAACTCTGTAAACCCGGTCATCCTTGCATCGACGCCAGTCTCTATGCCGTGGTTGGTGCCGCAGCTTGTCTTGGCGGTGTTACTCGAGCAACTGTCTCTCTGGTCGTTATCATGATTGAACTCATTGGAGGGTGAGTTTTATTTGGCAAATACATCATTTTCTTTTGTAACCAATCGCTGACGCGTTGGAAACCTTATGGATATTGGTTTGGTTGTGACCCCTCTCAGTTTTGGACTTTATTTTGCCTCATTGGAAGAGGGTGCAATGCTAAGATTTTGTTAATTATGTATTTGCATTTGGTTCTTTTTCGTATGTGAGGCCTTTATTTAAAGAGTCATTTGCATGTGACCATAGTAACGAAATTTTTAACCTTTACCAATGGGCTGTCAAATTGTGCAGGAACCAATCTTTCATTTACTCTTTAAACTGATTTCTGGCGAAATGAAATGAATTTGTCTTGTTTTAAAATCATTGTCTCCTGCCTTCTAAATGCGTTCCAGACGTCTGCAGTTCTCAATCTATTTTTTCTCACTATTATTATACTCCACTCAATTCTCTTTCTCCTTTTTCTCATCTACAAATAATTTAATTCTCTTAGGGGTTTATCAGTTATCTAGATGCTATCTTTATTCTTATTATTTTGTGAAAGGCGGCCACTTCATCTTGACTACAGACGCTGGAATCAAGTCAGGGGATCCAGAACTCTTTACCAATTGATTACTTCTTAGTTGACGCTTAGTATTTAAACTAGCTTTTGTTTCAAATGTCGTATATTTTACAATCTAAATTGGAAGTGTTTTGGCTAGTAATAAGTTGATTGAGCAATTGAATGTTTCCTGTTATTTCGGTCCTATCCGTTTCTATCGTCAATAGACAAGGAAATCGGGTTCCTTTAGCAAACCGGTTTACCGCGTCTTAGAGAGAAATTGTGTGTTCACCTCACTCGAGTGCATGTAGATATGGATGCGCTCTATTTCGTGTTCACTCATGCTTTCCTAGTGTGAATTCTGTCGGCAAATGTTACTAAACGTGGTTTATGCATCGTTTGTCATATCAAATAGATTTGGGAGTTCTGCTCGTTTTTTGAGACAAACTTTTTTTAGGTTATCCACAAACTAAGTGAACAAGCGTTGATTAATTCACTTGATAACCAATGGGTTGATTGATCCATTGTCATTATTTTACTCAGAAATGCCCTTCCATCCTCTCTAATTCGATTATTGGTTCAAGTAATTCACTGACGGATTACATTTTTGGAAGCGCACAGCAGTTAGGATTCGTGAGAGTCACAGAGAACCGGTAAAGGAATTGAAATAGAAGGAAGTAGGGAGTGAAAACGATGATGGAGTCGGGGGGGGGGGGGGGGGGGGGAGGGGAGTGAGATAAGTGACATCAATGTGTGTGAGTTAGACTTTACAGAACTCCACAGAGAAGGGTTATCATGGGCAGATGGAAACTGGAACCCTAACAACTCTCACTCATCACGCCTTAGTGACTTATCCACTAATTGACCTGAAATACTTGAGGACACATGACGACTCCACTGGGAATTATGGTTCTCCGTAGCAACGGAGATCAGTGATAACCTATGTAGAAATGCTCGAAGTGCTTATTGGGTCTCTTTCTTCAACATTGTTTCCCCTGTTTCTTTGAGCGCTTTTATTTAAAAATATCAAGAAATTGCTTATCTGTGAACTACTAATTTTCCCCCTGGTAGTTAAGGCCCCTGTCATCTGTCAAAATATGGGAGTATTAAAAATTGGTTGTAATAGACATTATAACAGAAGGGGGGAGAGAATTCGATTTGATAGATTGGCTCAAACCCCGCTTTTATTCGCAAACTCGATCTCATTATAACATATTAGGAATTGCGTGCAAAACACTAGAAGATCCTGGAGAACACCTCTCATCTATTGGGTGGGCAACTAAGTCATTGCCGATTTCAAATAGGAAGGCAAATTCAGAATTTTTCTTTAAAAATATAACTTTATTCAATTAGATATTGGCCGTTCTTGTCGATGACCTTTTTCCATCGTTCTGGCAGAGTAAAAATTCCCCGTTCGTAAAATGCCTGGTCTTTGCTATTAAAAAACTGCATTAGGTGTGATCCGACATCATCCGCGTTGTTAAAAATTTGACCATTTAAAGAGTTTTGCATGGAACGAAACAAATGGTAATCCGAAGGCGCAAGGTCAGGGCTATATGGTGGGTGTGACAAAACATCCCAACCCAGTTCCAATAATTTTTGCCGAGTAACCAAAGATGTGTGGGGCCTTGCGTTGTCATAATGGAAAACAACACCCTTCCGATTTGATAATGCCGGCCGCTTATCTTCAATTGCATCCTTCAGTTTTTCGAGTTGTTCAACATACACATTTGAATTTATCGTTTGGTTCTGCGGCATGAGTTCAAAATACAAAATTCTTTTGTGATCCCACCAGACTGACAGGATAATCTTTTTTTGGTGAATCTCTGCTTTTGATACTGTTTGGGCTGGTTGATCTTGCTTCACCCATGATCTCTTGCGAGTAACATTGTTATTAACTATCCACTTTTCGTCGCCAGTAACTAGGTTCTTCAGAAATGGATCATTCTCATTGCGTTTCAGTAGCGGCGAATCACAGATGCTAATCCGTTGCGTCAAATGAATTTCCTTTAACTGGTGAGGGATCCATAAATCAAGTTTCTTGACATAACCAAGGGTTTTTAATTTTTTTCCAATGCATGTATGCGACACATTGAGCTTCTCTGCAATATCTCGTGTTGTGCTGTGACGATTTGAATCGATAATGGCCTTGATATGGGTTTCATCCACTTCGACTGGGCGGCCAGATCGTTGTGAATTTTTCAGTGAAAAATCACCGGAACGAAATCTTTCAAACCAATTTCGACACTGCCTTTCTTTTAAGGCTTCAGCTCCATATACGGCACATAACTTCTTTTGTGCTTGCGATGCGTTCTTGCTTTTTTGGAAGTGCACGTCCTGTTCTTTCATTTTTAAATTGGGATAAAAACAAAACTAAAGAACTAAGCAAAAAAATTTATTACTAATTAACCTAGAAGCCCATACAGTAAGAAAAAAATATAGGTTAGATGCTCTGGCCACGTTAACAAAACAAAAGAAAGTATAGAGTGAATCTGTCAACAAAAACGGCAATGACTTAGTTGCCCACCCAATAGATCGCGTCGTATTGTATAAATTACAACTGATTTGAATGGTAAACAGGATTGACGTGATGGCAAGGTCAATTCAGTCTTTCTCAATTTGCCAGGTCTTGAATGAAGCTTCTCATGGAATCCGAAACTGAGCATCAGTAAAGCGCAATTCGGGTTGGGTAAAACCTATTTATAGCCATCTTCGAACGATTATTAATGGGCTGAACTTGCATTTCAGTTTCACTTTTATCATCTCCATTTAGACTGAGTTACAGTATCCCCATCATGGTTGCGAGTATGTTTGCCAAGTGGACTGGAGATCGTCTTTTTGAGGGCAGTATCTATGACGTGCAGATTCGTCTCAACCACTATCCCTATCTCCAATTCGACAAGAACTCCAACAAAATGGCCGATTCTTTTGCCTCCGACATCATGCATCCTAGAATTAGTGAAGGACCTCTGGAACTTCTGACAGAAAACTCGATGCGTTTGGAGGAAATTGAGCAACTTTTGCAACAGTCAAGTCATAATGGCTTTCCCATAGTTGAGTCACTTTCCTCCCGACACCTTGTCGGCTTCGTTTCACGTGGTGATCTTATCGGGGCCCTAGGTGGGTGGTATTGTAAATGCTGGCACTTATATTATTTAAGTAGTTTATCGAACTTCCTTTCCCTTCTTAACAGGACTTGATCGACCTCATTCATCACGTCGTTATCATCCCGGTTCCATAGTCTGTTTCACCGATCGAGCGCCTATTCATGGCGCTCTGACTCCTGGTGACTTTGATGGTTTTCCTCCTTTGGCTGATATTAGGAATATCACTGATTTGGTGGGTTGAGCTATCTTTTTGATATTATAAATTGCTGGTTCATCTTTTTACCTTTTTCTTTTTTTTTTCACCTGCATTTTCAGTCCCCTACAACCCTCACCCAATCGACCCCCGCATCGACCATATTTGATGTGTTCAGGAGTTTGGGTTTGCGCCAAGTCCTAGTAACCCATCTTGGGTAAGTTGTAACCGTTTGTCGTTTTAATTGGGAAATGGGGTGTGTGTGAGGGGGGGTGGGGGGAGTTGCCAGCATTTTCTCGGTCAGAGTGGCTTCCCAGGCGGAGTGCATAGTTCCTCTTTAATTACCACTTAAAACTTTGTGAATTTATCCTAAATTGATTTCTCGTTTTCGATTAGTTTTTATTATCCTAAATGATCGATTTTTCATCATGGTGTAATTGTTTTTTTTTTCGGCGTTTATGAGTTTTCACTAGGACCAAAAGACTCATTTGTAGCGGATCGCTCCACTAATAAGCCCGACTTATGCTCAGTAATCTCTGCGGCATGAGTTTCCAGTTCTTAAAGGGTGACCCGGATTAGCTAAGCTACCGCAGAACTATGGAGGAAACAGCCTTATGACGTGGAGCGCGTTTCTTAGGGAAGTGTACTATAGATAGAGAGCTTTGTAATTATATTATAATAGTTTGCTAAACCAGGGTGTACGATAGACTTACCTCCACGTGATGCACCCTGGGCAGCGTACGGCAAAAACGTCTTTAAACCGGCAGTTGACTTCCGATTTTAAATTATCATGACCCTACTGTAAGTCATATTCGACATCTACGGTATTCATCTTACCTTTTCTCTCTCTGCCTCTTTTACAACTATGATTCATTCGTCTGTTCCCTACCTCAACTTTTTCTCACTTTGATGTTCCTCCTCCTCTTTCTGATGCCCGAAGTCAACTAAAGGGGCTAATGATAACTAACAAAATGCCTGCCAATTGAAGTAAATAAATAGTTTGCTAAACCAAGCATGGCTGTCGGCTGGGTGGTCACCGTGCTTACGACCACACTTACTCCCTACGCTACAACCAGGACGGCGCATCTTCGAGCGTGTCTGTCCGGGGAGGGGGGGGGGAGGGGGGAATGAGATTTCTTTGCTCAGCGCGATGACAGCGTTGTGCGCTCCACAAACCTTAAAGCCTTCCACTTTGGTTCAGAGTAAAGGGCGCTGGCGCTTTTTGTACCTAATTGTGTTTTTAAAACGCCTTTGGAACTTCTTCTCACTTGGCACTAATTCATGCGTATTTTTTTATCTGAAATGCCAACTCTTGCTCTGATCGGAATCTCTCCCCTTCGATGTGGCCATCGATTTTCCAATTTTTAAATTAATGCAAAATTAAATTTTAAACTTCTTCTATGAATATTGATTATCCTTCAAATTAAAATGCGCTTGATTTGTAGTCAGCCCATGAATGGAAATCTGTTTCATTGATTTGTATTTTAATTTACGATTTGTCCACATTGATTTCTGCCACAAATTCTATCTCCCTTTCCAGTTTAAAGTTAGATTCGCGTATTCATTTGGGACAAGAATTAAGTTGTTTTCATTTAGGTGAATTTTAATAATAGTAACTGAATTTCTTTTCCTAGTTAACCTCTTAGATCGCTTGAACTACTTTTTATTCACGTGTTTAACACATTGATTGGAATGTCTCAGCTGTGGTTTTGTTCTGTTTAGATTACTTTCTCCTTTGCTAGATTAATGTAACCTATATGGGGTTACCTTTTTTGTTGATCTCACCAATTTTGTCTAAACACCATTGGGAGAGTATGCAAACATTTCAGGCTTGTCCTAGTGTGCGATTATTGCTTGAATTGTTCCTTTTTTATTGATCTCTGATCTGGTGTAAATGCTCTAATAGCAGTTAATTTCACAATTTCGTCTGCTTCCTTTACTTGTTACCTCTGAACCTGCATACTCAGCCGTCAAATAGGCACTTTAGAGCTTTTGAGAAAGTGATATACTAAGTTGATGTATTTCTGGTAAAATGCTACTCAAAGTGATTCGCGTTTCTTGCAATCGCACTAAGCAAGGTATCTTTTAATCATGAACCATTTACTCGAATTTTTCGAGTTTTATCCACAACGTATCCACTGGCCGATGTCTCAATACTAGATGCTATCATAGGTTGGGTTATTATTATGTCGCCGCGAAGCAAGTTAATTGGTTTCATTTAGAAGCAATAACTGATCAACTTCGAACTTCAACCCGTAGGCAACATGATAAGAATGTTCAGAAATTAAGAGAATCCGGCGGCGTCTTCTAACTCAACAGCAGCATCCGGAGACCGGATAAGTGCCGCACTTGAGGTGAAAATATTTTGAAGAAATCGTAAAGCTACATGCCATTAACTTTGCATTAATTGTTTAGCCCTGGCCTACTTCACTCATCTCCTTTTTTCCCTCTACTTGCAGACGCGTAACTGGAATCATCACAAAGAAAGATCTTCTGCGTTTCCTTGACGATTGTTAATATTTACTGGCAAGACAAGAACATCCCTGATAAAATGTTTTTTGTCCATATCCGATAAAAGCCCTAATCTCTACTGTGATAATAAACAAACTTCTTTCTAAGATGCATTTTTATTAAACTTGCGAATAGTTCCGTGCAATTATTGCATATAGCGTTGATAAGGGTTAAGATAAACCCAGAGGAGCGCCTAACCGGAAATAAAAGTTAAAAACGTAACGAGAGTCGAACCACAAACCAACTTAACGGAAAAGGCAAGCCCATTAGACCAAGATAGCGTATTAAAATATATTTAATGTTAAAAACATCACATGTACGTCAAGCCTAGAATTCTTGGGATACCTTCTTGGCATCCGCCTTCTCATTCTTCTTCGGTAAAAGAACGCTTTGAATATTTGGTAGAACACCACCTTGGGAAATTGTGACACCAGAAAGCAATTTATTCAATTCCTCATCATTTCTGACGGCCAATTGAAGATGACGCGGAATAATTCGAGTTTTCTTGTTGTCACGAGCAGCGTTACCGGCAAGCTCAAGAACTTCCGCTGCAAGATATTCTAGAACTGCGGCAAGATACACTGGGGCGCCAGCACCCACACGTTCAGCGTAATTTCCTTTTCGAAGAAGACGGTGGACTCTTCCCACTGGGAACTGAAGACCAGCTCTGATGGAGCGGGTCTTGCTCTTGGAATTTGCCTTTGCACCACCCTTACCACGACAAGACATTACCGCAATATTTGACTTTTTAACTTCCTGGTGCTTAAACACTTACTCGTATTATCAATTAGTTAAAACACTATATTGTGCATTCACATATTTTACGGTTAATTGAAAATAAATACTCGTGGCCCAATTTTATGATATAGAAAATTAAGATCCTTATTTTATGGGCATATTGATTATAGCCTAGCAAAAACAAACAAAAGATAGTTTGAGTTGTTCAGCTTATTTGGCCATTTTTAGCAGAGTTACAATGAAGTCGAAAGATTTATTCATTAGTCTTTTGTACTTGGATGGATTTTAATAGGTTAACGACAGTAAAAATTAATATATTTGCTAAGCAGAAGATTAATTTCTCTACAAATCCCCTTGATTGCATGTAATAATATTGATGAGTCAAAATGAAATCAAAGCATTGATGATATCATAATGGCATTAGTCCCAAAATTCTATTGTACGACTTGATCTTATCTGCAGCTTCGTCTGGAAAATGATGACTAGCTTATTAGAGATATGTTGACGGAATCGTATATTTCGATGCAGATATTAACTTTATTTTGTAGATTTACACTTTAAAAATGACAAAATGTCAAGATAATAATTTTACATGATTCGCTGCCTTACCAGATATTTTATGTGATATGCCAACGTGAACAAATCTTAATACATAAAATATCACGGCAATGCCCACTGATGATGAAGTTTCGATAGGGTTAAAGGAGTAATGGAACGACATAATTGGGAAATTAGATCTACCATTTAAAACATTATTTTCAAATAGAATTTTGTAAGAGGGCTTCAGTCGGATTAAAACGCTAAACAAGTTTTACCAAAATCATATATTTCCTCACAGGTGAACTTAATGTCTTCTTTAAATGAATTAAATTACATATAATGGTAAAATGTTTGGAAGTCTGGAATCTATTTGCTGAAATAAGAAAACTAAAAGTTATTGTTTTCCAACATTGTTTATATACAATATTTGACAATCTTATTAACATGTTTTAAAAATGAATGGATCATCAAAAATATCAACAATGACAAAGATTATTTTAGTAAAACATAACATTAAACTCGAAGCCAAGTAATTTAACTAAAAACGTTAGAATGTGTGCACACAATAAAATTTTATTAAAAACTTAAAGAACGCCTAATGAATACTGGTTTATCAATGTTCCTATTTGATATCATGATGCTCTTTGCTTTTGCAGACGCGTCTTTTTGGCGAGGACCGTTAAGATATGAAGGCAAAATTCCTTTTTAAATAAGATTCAATATTCATTGATAATTTTAATTACTGTGCACTTTATAAAAATTTCAAAATTTTATTGTATCTCAACGAAATTTTTCTTTGTTATAAGGAATCACAAACTAGCGCGCAAAGCCAACTCACCTCCTTCTCCTTATTTGTTCTCGTCTCTGTTGTTAGTGGGTCCCACCGCTCTGTGAGTTATTGCGAATTCTCTTTAAAATTCTCTTCTCGTATATGTTTTTAGTTTTTAAAAAATTATGCTTATAATAATGCGTATAAAACCTGGTATAATGCTATTTTAAGGGTCAGAATGTACTTTCCTGTAAGTTTTATTCCTTATGTTCATCTGTTTGAGCGCTAATACTTCATCGATTCACTCCACTTGTGTTGTGCCGTAGTTCGAAGTTGTAAATATTAGTGGCACAATTATTTATATTATGCAAATTCTAGATGGAGAAGGAAACTCGTGTTCCTGAAACTCGCGTTAAGATCGATCAACATTTTATATCAGGTAGGTTAGAGTATTAACGCTAATTGCAACTCTTCTTAGATGAATCGAATTTATCTCGATCAGCTATTCCTGATACCGAAATACGCATTAGCATAGATAAATTCGGCTCACTTAATCAATTTATTCCTGACGTTCACAATAGTTCAAGTGTTTACAACACTTTTCCTCGTGGACAGCATATAGCGACATCTACTCCTATCCTTGGGTATTCAACCCTTCAACAATCAACTTCAAAGGATAGATCGCAAAGTTCCACCTATCTTCCACCCATGTCTAATGCTAATGGCGTTTCAACTCCTGCCCTCTCGTCACGGTCTCGTGTTGAAACGACTCTTACGCCTTACTTTCAGAAGCCTTTAGTCAACGGGAAAGAAACTATTCACCACAGTCAAATTCCTCAAGAACGTGCCTCTAGTCCAGATGAGCTAACTTGTGACTCTGGTTTGGATGATCTTTCCATTGTTGAAGAAGATCGATTGCGCCTCCATGCCGCTTGTCTTGAGGGCCGACTTTCAGTCTATGGCCGAGAGGCTGAGATCTGGCTTAAAGAACGCGCTGAGCTTTCTACCGAGGCTGCAGCCCTTAGAAAACGTCTTGAGGTTGCGAAATCAACTCTCAGTGAGGTGAAGATACAATCAGATCAACGTATTGCAGAAGCTCTTACTAAATCTCGTGAAGCTCGGGAATCTCTTCTTCAAGCCCAAGAACAACTTACCCTAAAAACCCGTGAGAATGAACAACTTTCTGCCAACTTAACAGCCATGCAAAGGGATTCTATCTCACTAAAATCTCAACTTGCTGACGTTCAACAAAATAGCGTCGCAAAAGACCAAGCTTTAGTTAGCCTTCGAGAAAAGATGGCAGAATTATACGCCGATATGGAGTCCATTCGAATGGCTTATTCTCAAGCTCTTGATCATAAAACTGATCTCAATGCCGAGTTAGCTAGTTTAAGACGATCTCAAGAATGGTATAGAGAACAACTCCAACTGACAGAGGCTGCTCGAGATCGTTTAATGGATCAGTTAAACTCCATGCGAAATTGGCTTGATCAATCTGGAACATCAGCTCAACAATTAGCTCAGGAGAACGCTCGTCTGGAAACACAAATTATGTCTGGCGAAGCTGTTTTAGCAGAGGCTAAACGAAACTTGACTCACGAGTTAGAAGCCATTCGGGCTGATATTCTTGAACGCGAGGCTATATTTGAAAAGATTGTTGCAGAAAGATCTGATCTAGAATCACTCTGCAAACAAAAAACTCACCAAATTAATGAATGCCAAAATCGTATTTCAGCACTTCAGGCTGACCTCAACGAAACTGAAATAGAGCTGTCAGGTCAACGTACTTCTTTAGATCACATTCAACACATCCTCCAATGTGTCGAAAACGAACGGGACAATCTGCGTATGACCGTCAGTGGTCTAGAGGCACAGTTAAACCAACAAAAATCCCTGCTTGATCAACAGTTAACTCAATACAAACAAGTCTGTTCAAAGTTGACATCTATGGAAGCAAGTAACTATGAGCAGTCAACCGCTCTTAATCGAGCTCTTGAAGAAAAGGCCTCTTTGGAAGGTTCCCTTCAAGCTACTTACAAGGAGAAAGCTACTCTAGATGCTTGTCTTAATCAACTCAGAGAGGATATGTCCCGAGTAGAGAGCAATTTCAACGCTTTGCAGTCTGAGCTTGACTCCAGAAACTCAGAGTTATCTAATGTTCTCCTCATTAGAGATGAGCTTTCTAATGACATAGAAGTCTTGCAGTCTAATCTTCAAGAGAAAAGCGCGAAAGTAAAGGAGTTAGAGGCTGAACGGGAGCAGCTCCAGAACACTTCATTAACTCTTCAGTCAGAAAATGAAGGTTTAAGAGATGATATTAAACGCCTGGAAGATTCAATCGGCCCTGCCTGTGAGGAAGCGGCTAAAAAAGCCAGAGAACCGCTTATTACAGAAGTTGAAAGGTTGAATAATCAGTCGACGCAACTTCTTTCAGAGCTATGTGGCCTTAGGGAGCAGGTTTCCAGTCTTCTAACTGTTCAAGAGAGGTACTGCATTCTCATGCAAAGTCATCAAACACTTCAGGAAAAGTTCGATGCCCTTCAAGCTAATCATACGGCTTCTATTGAAGAAGCGAATGCTAAACAGTCGGAGCTAAGTCAAAGACTACTGGAAGTGGAAACTTCTTACTCCTATTCTCTTGCTTCAAAGACCTCAGAGATTGATGTTCTTACTCAACAGCTGAATGAGAAAGCCAACGAAGCTTTGGCTCTGCAAGCTGAAATAGCTCTAAAGATCGCTCATCAACAAGCTCATGAGCAGCAATCTGCTGAATGGGCTCAGCGCCTATCAGCTTTGGAATCTCGTTTACAGTCGACTGAGACACAGAGAACTGAGATCCAGCAGCAGTTACAAGCAGTGTTAGAACGCGAACGTGACACCAATAACAAACAGCAAGGGGAGCTAGAGATTCTCCGAGCTGAAGTAGCCAAGCTTGAGTCCCTTGTAGTTAAGTCTGAAGGGATTGAAAATAAATATAGGCAATTAATGCAAGAACTGGAAGCCTCGAAGGGACGGGAACTCGGTCTTTCGGACACAGTTGACAGCCTCAAACGTCATACAGCCGGTTTGGAAACGTCCCTCTCTCAGCGGGAGGCAGAAATCGTTGAACTAACTGAAAAGTTCGAAGCTATGCCCTTGTCAAGAGTGGATGCTGAACCCATTATCCAACCAGTTGTTCAACAACAAAATCTAACTACCGCTCCTGTCTCCCTACCATGTTCAAGCTGTCAAATGTTGACAGCTGAGGTTACAATGTATTCTCGAAATGTCACCCAAATGCAAGATGAGCAGGCTAAACTTCAAGCCGCTTTAGAGCTGACCAAACAGGAACTTGCAGCCCAGTCAGCAAAGACGACGAATGAGGCATTTGGACGACAGCAAGCGTTAGAAGCACAGAGAGCAGCAACGAAAGAAGCGGAAAAGCTGAGAAGGGAACTAGCTGAAACTCAACAAGCCTTGTCAGAAGCGAAACATATTGCGAGCACGGCTCAAGCGAATGTCACTTCGTTGACAGGCCATCTGAAATCTGGTGATAAGTCTACGGATAAGGAAGTGAGAGCATTACAAGATACTATTGCGGTGAGTACTGATATGATTTATTCTTTCAATGATTTGAACAAGTGACTTTTATGTGGAGTAGATTTTATTATTCAAGTGTTCTCAATCTGTTTTTTCCAACGATTTTGAGTCTATTTGTTTGAGTTCTTAAGAGGATTATTTTCGTATCTTGTCCTTTTCCTCTGATCAATGCCTAGTACTTCTCAACACTGCAAAGATATTGGCTTCTGAGTGGCAGTACTGCATCTACTCATTACTAATAGAACGATTTGTTAACTGAAGAAGAGCGTGTTTTAATCAATTTGGTTTCTGGTTTCATGAGGTTGTTTGCCCATTAGATGGTTTTTTTCTCAACTCTATTCCAATGTTCGCAAGAGCAAATTTCGGGATTAATTCCCCCAGTGGGTTCGTGTTCACGAATGTCTATTAAACTAGTTAATTCTATTGAGCCGCTAGCTATGCCCTCTCGATGAGTTTATATCTGCCAATAGGGGTGTGGGATAGGCTTACCTCCACGTGGTACACCCTGGGCAACGTATACTCATATGGCAAAAAGCCTATTAACCGGCAGTTAACTTCTGACTTCAAATTAATATGACCCGATTGTATGTGATATTGCACCGCTTTCACAATACTCACCTTATCTTTTCTCTAACTTTGTGTCTCTCTGTCTCTTACATTTGTGAATCACTCTTCTCTTCCCAACCTCACGACTTTCTGTTACTTTGATGAAGCTTCCCTCTGTGAAGCCTGAAGTCAGCTAAATGGCTTATGGTGGCTATCAAAACGCCTGCCGTTTGAAATAAATGAATAAATAAATATCTGCCAATAGACAAGAATTTAGTTGTTTATAGTCAAATTATTTTTGTCTTAACATGATCCCAATTTAGTAATCTACTTACTAAAGGCATCCGAACATTTGAACGTTATTTTCATCATCATCTCAACTTTTATTCATTTCTACTTCGAGTATTTATTCATTGTCATTCGGGATATTTGCAATTTTCGATGTCCCGGGTTTTCCGAATATTCGCCCATCCAAATAAGTATCCAGTTTTATATACTGACAAAGATGAGCTTTTATTTTCACGTCCTCCTATTCGTTTCATAATATGCTTTATTAATTTTCATGTAAAAGTGGACAGATGTAGAAACGATTTGTCTATTAGGTGGATATCGCTTTTTGCACGTAAATAAGATAGCGTATTTTTGCCAAACTTGGGGTCATTTACTGGATGTAGAGAGAAAATATTTACGGAGGTCATCCAAATAGTCATAAGTCCAGCTTCTACCTGCTTTCAAATTGATCGGCAGGGAGCCTTATTTGAACAAAATGCATTTGAAATTATTTGATATTTACTATGCTCGCTATCATCTATATTGCTCCATTATTACATAATGATTCTGTCTGTCAAGGTATTTTCAGTGGATGCTATAACGTCGGACAAAAATCGGTCTGGCAGTCGAATGATTTACGATAGCAATTACCGAATCAAACTAGACAGGCTAGGCTAAGGCGGTTTAATATGGGAAATTAGACAAAGATGTAAGTCGCTTCTTATGAAGCATCTAGGGATTGGCCTCCAGTAATAAACGCGAAATTTCAATCAAGAATTCTTATATCATTAAGTTAAATTTCTACGTTTTGTGATTTGGTGAGTTGTATCAATAATAGTCATTTAACTTAACCAGGAAGGTGCTCCCGCAACTGGAAGTTGATTGATTGAATTTAACTGCATCTTGTGATGGGGCGGGGCGGGGGTGGGAGTGGGGGTGGAGGATGGCTTTAGAGTCCAATTTAAAGGGACACTTTCGTATGTTTAATGACCTTCGTTTTGCTTTGCAATCTTTTACATCTCCATTCTCCATTCTAGGTTTTGAAGAAACACCTCGAACAGTTGAAACGTGAGTTGACCGACACAAAACAGGAGTCGTGGCATTACCAAGCCCATCTCTCAGATCTTCGTGGATCTCTTCGAGGTCTTATTGAACAAAGCCGTCTTTTTGGGAGTAGTAATGATGGCTCTAACATCAATGGTCTCAACTCAAACGGCGTTCCGCAGACTCCTGCCTCGATCAATGTTGTGGAAGTGTCCGAGTTGGAGAAACTACTTATTGATAGGACTGATGATTCGCTTCTGCATAGCAGGTGGGTATAATGCCTTATTCTTCCATTAATAGCTTATTTCGTTTGAGTAAAATAAATGATATCTATTGTTTAATGTGAAATTGTGTTTCAATAGCTATCCACTCTTAAAAGAAGAGAATATTTTTGCTATTGATTCTTCATATTTCAAAATCCAGATCGAAGTCCATTTTGTGCCTGTTTGATTGAATCAATTTCTTCACTCTCTATCTCATTTGGGCAACTGCGACCTTAGCCTTGCGCAGATGAAAAGAATTTCAAGGGATTAAACTGCAGAGAGATTTATGTATATATAATTATCAGTATCAATTGATTTAGTTTGAAGAGGCGAAATCTGGAACCTCTCTAATGGGAAACTCATTTTCCATAACTGCGCCTGTTCACCCGAATTAACCAGTGTGTGGCTAGTAAAAACGCACCATTAGTTGTGCATCGATCTTTGTAACGTGCAAATGTGCAATTTGAACACATCGTCACCGGTAAACAAATAATAATGTTAATACCAATGCAATCTTTAATTTATTAAGATGGTGTGTATACATTATAATATTCGGACAGGTGGGCTGCTCGAATATGGTTTTGGGAGTGATTAGGCAGATTTTACCTTTTGATTTCGGATCTTTAGATCATAGCACCTCAGTTTAGCATTGTAACTTTTTTGAAGGACTAATTAAGCCTATCGAGATGTTCAAAACTATCCAGTAATTTTATTGTGTGAAAGTTTTGTTGATTTGTTTAAAGAGGGTTTTTAGAGCTTGAGTCTCAATCAATGCGTGCAATGGGGCGCCAAGGTAATAACTATAGGAATTGAAATTGAAAGCATTATTTTCCCACCATAAATGAAACACAAAGCCATTTGAATCTTTTCCAAGAAGCCTGACGCTGACATTACATCTTTGTTACCTCTCTCCTAGACCTTTGATTCGCGTCAACAACTACTTGGATCGTCTGCAACAGGAAATAAATTCTCTAGAATCCCAGGTTATCCAACACGCCAATGTGGTTCGCGACTCTGTTGCCAATTGGAGGTATGGTTCGATATGATTTATTTAAAGTTTTTTTATTAAGTTATGGCAAATTTTCTTGGCACACAATTGTTATTTACTTCCATTGTTATTTCTACCATTATCATTATTTAATTCCCTTGGGAGTTTCTTCAAACAACTTTGTAGAAAAGATCTCATTTTTCGCTGGAATTAGGATGCTTTTTCATTATGAAGTAATCCTTAATCCAATGTAGGGTTTAAAAATAACATTGTCATCTTTCTGCTACTCTGGGTTTGACTGATGAAATTAATTACTTTCAATCCTGATTGTTTCTATTTATTATTTTTTTAGAATGCTTGAAAATACTTGATAATTCTAAACTTCCATGACCACATAAATGCCTTGATTCCGCTTTCAAATCCTTTATCGGCATGATAGCTTTCATTGATTGGCTCATTTACTCGAAGATCAAATAGAACTCTGGGGCACTTAACTTTCAATCGAGGCGTTACGATCGTCTTTCCTACACTTTGACCATCTTCCCTAGCTTTGAAAAAATCCGAATTTTGATGTTTTTGGAAGTATTTCCTCTTCGTTACTTCTTCACCTTAAAATGCACATTCGTTAGTACAAAAAAGAATGGTTAAATCTGTCATGTAGGTAATATCAATATTAATATTGACAACAACAACACTAACCACGTTTTCATTTCTTGACACTCACCTAATTCGTTTACTGTTTTCTTTATTTGGATTCGTTCCATGTAATACAATTTTAATAACAGATTAGCATCTTAGTGCACGATCGAGGAATGAAGTAGAGGAGGTTGAGAGTATGTGTTTCGTGAGGTAAAATTGGCCTACTTTTTGTGAATTCGTGAAGCAAGTGATTGGCCTACTTTCTCTCCCAATGCTTTTATTCCGCTCTGTAGGGTTTCAGGTGAGTTCGTGTTCGCGTTGTTCCGAATATGTTGCAGAGGTGATTTAATTGAAATTATAGGTCACGTTCATATCTCACTGCATCCACTAGTGGCCCTATGCGACACATCAGTGGAGCTCGTAACTGTGCTCATTGTTTGACACGGAGGGCTCTCTGTTACTGCCATTCAATCCACCGCATAACACTTGCTTCTAGTACCATTTTTTTCTTCGGAATAATTTCAATCTTCGCAGCAGTCATTTTTATGACAGTTCAGTCTAGTATACTGATTTTTCTCTTGTCTATTAAACAAAATGTATAATTTTGTTTTTTTTTCAATTAGTCGCAATAAGTTTTATTTATAATGTCATGCCTAATTTCTGGTAGTTAGTTGTCTCTTTCTTACAGACTTTGTCTTGTTCTCAATTTGTGACGTAAATTAATTGAATAATAATAGAAAAATAATATTTTTTCTACACTGTACAAGTCTCATCTTGTTCCAATCAATAATGTCATTAGCAATTTAAAAATTAATTTAATTTGAAAATTTCGTAAGTTAAAGAAAAAAAAATTAGATTGGCTCTATTTTTTGAAGTTTGGCTTGGCCTTGCCTTGCCTTGCCTGCCCTTAAAAAATACTTGTCCGGGGTCGTAATTTTAGTCAAAAGTGTGTGCATATTTAAACAACCTAATGAACTTTCAATGCGTTGAAAATGTCCTTTTCCTCTAGTCTTTCAAGTTCTTGATTAGGCCGAAAGATTTGAAAATGTGGGATGCGACCTAACTATATCATCATTTCATTCTGTTGTCACAATTTTGTGGATACCTTGCATTGTACAAATTTGACACCGAGGTGAATAGATATGTCTGTGAGGAGGAGAGTGCAATGAGTTTCCAACCTTGATATAGAATTAAATATTTATTTATTTTTTATAACATATGGCAGGCGTTTTGATAGTTATCATTAGCCCTTTCGCTGACTTCAGGCTTCACAGAGAGGAGGAACAGCAAGGTCACGTAAAGTCGAGAGGGGGAACGGAAGAGTGATTCACAGATGTAAAAGAGACAGACAGACACAAAGGCTCAGAAAGGTTAAGATGAGTACTGTGGTAGGAGTCGAATATGGCATGCAGTGGGGGTGATGGTTGCTGGAAGTGAGAAGTCAACTGCCGGCTAATAGACTTTTTGTCGTATGAGTATACGTTACCCAGGGTGCACCATGAGGAGGTAAGTCTATCCCACACCCCATATAAAATAAACTAAAATTGGCTAAGAAGGCGCTTTTTAATCAAGCAATCAGATGTTATGACAATGGAACTCTGATGAGTAGTTAATGTACTCAGAATCCCTTAATACCCCCAAGTTGATTACTATAATGAATAAAGTGTTTTTTTTATCATGGATTAATATATGCATTGCAGTGGGAAGTTTCAAAATTAAGGACTCCTGAATGCTCTTGTTTTCATCTTTTTAAATGGCGCTGAAAATTCCTTAAAGACGTTATGCACATTGTCGTTGCTAAGCCTTTTTATTCATTTCATCTCCAGGGTAAGTGTGGAAGCCGATTAGTTTCACCTATCGATGAGTCGGGAATTTGGTGTTTTGGAGCATGCTTCCACTTAATATTTTCCTCCTTATTTGCCATCTAAAATGCTGTCTTCTATTTATAATTCGTTGCCTTGAGATGAGGAAATGGCTACAGCATTTCTCTTACGTCTTTTAAAAATTACTAATCCCACGAACAAGAACCCCCATGTCATGTCTTATGTCAAATTTCTTTCCAGAAATGTTGCATTACATCCATGAATATCTTTTCTTAGACAAAAGCCCCTCACTCTCAAAAACTAAAACTGGACAAGTCAGATAGAGAAATACCTCTTTTTATTTACAGTGGGGACCCATTTGAACTTTATTCACACACTACGGGGTTATTACGCTATTTCTATTCGCAATTGACTGTTGACGGATGTTCTCACATGATAGAGAGCCTTTCGTTTTGTCAACTGCCTGCGTCTTTAATTTGTAATCTTGGTAAGTGACACTACATTCGAGATACTGCACCTCTGTCAATTTCTCACGCACAAAATTCTGGCAGTAATGAATTTGGTATGCAGAAAGTTAATTGGCATTGATGCAGATTAATTTATTTTTAATCTCAAACCAATTAGACTCTCCAATGCGACTTACAGACATCAGTTCATATCATCTTATTCAATTATGTTACGATGCTGTGGTGTCGTTCGTTTATTGTGCAGTTTTGAGCCGATTCTCGCCTTCGATCAGAATGCTTATCACCTGGTTAATTGAGTTTGTGCTATGAAACTTTTTGGTTTATTAAAGTCGCTACCAAATCCAATCTCAAAATGATGGGAAAACTGATCAGTACTATAATGATCGTTCCAGTCACTGAGTATTATTAATTTCTAAGCCGCGCTCTACACCGCTAGTTATGCAAAAGCGCTCTGTGTGCTGCCTATACATTTTGGAGTGTTGTATAAATCACCTCTGACGAGTGGAACTGCTATGGCACAACTTTTTTCTTTCACAGTGTATGCGTGTATTAATTACCTAGTAGTGCCATAACCTGTGCACACCGCAACGTGACTTGTGAATCCAACAAGGTGCAAGTTTAACACACACACACACGAATACCAATGTGTGTAGACAAATCATAGTTTTAATGAATACTAATTTGAACCTCGAAAAAGATCGTTGAAGTACCCGCTGTATTCGAGAAAGTGAGGTGTTTGGGCGTTCTCGTTCCGCATTTTTGGCGTATCTTGCAGTGATTTCTTATTGGACAATGCATCGTATATGTTTGCAGTGCATAAAAATAAGACATTGTCTTCAAGTAAATCAAGTAAATTTCACGGAATAAACTGACGTTTATTCAAGTTTGGCAGACCATTTCTTTTGCTGCATTCTAGAACGTTAAGGCATTAGTCTTAACCCAGTTCTAGTTCATGATCGTCATTTTCAACCTCCCTCATTCGCTTTTACTGACCTGGATATATCATCGTTGGTTTGCAAATGGCACTCGCCTCATTCTAACTTGGCTCCAAAAGTGAGAATCTTCTCACTCCAAACAACAATTACAGGCGACAATTACAAGAATCAAGTACCACAAGATTCTTGTTTCTTTTCTGTGCCTAATTTCTAAGACCCGTTCTAACATCCACACACACGCACACACAGACACGTTTCCGTCTTGTGCAGTTTTTTTTGTTTCTGGGGCTGAATCACTGTTACCAACAAGAGTGAGGGATGATAATTTGTCTTAAGTTATTCGTTTTTTCATCACTTTGTGCCTAAATTGAAAGTGGGGGGAGAGAGAGAGTTTAATTTTGGGCAAATATGAAAAGCAATCAGTCATCCATTTCTTCTTTCAGCAATTACTGAATAGTTTTTCTAGGGTGATGATCAGTATCGATGAAATTTGAAAATTTAAAGTAAGGCCCTTTCATGTGGTGTAGATTTTATTGCTGTTGAAAATGGACAATGATAATAGCAACTGGATCCCTTTGTTGGCTCTACTATCTATTGTTTCCAGAAATTGGAAGCGAAATGTGAGGACTTCTCATAATTCTGAGACCAAGATATTTGAGTGGTAAATTTGTCTTAAGCAATTTGTTGGATACAATGCTTTTTTTAGAAAAAAACGGAAGCTCCATTCACTAAAATTTTTATTATCTCATGTTTCACACACACCTTTTTATATTTGTATCACGAATTGCATCGATTTTAAAAATGGGTGGTGACTCCTTACCCATCTTAGTTGTGGGGTACCTAGCTGAGATCTCCAGAATTGGTTCACTCAATTGTGTGCCTACCGGCCTTGATTTCGTGAATTTCGATTTAAGATACTTGCACGCTACCACCACCTCACCAGCGCGCATGTCCAGTCGTTTCGCTTTCACTTCGGATTAATTTCATATATTCTCCGTCTTCTCGCATAATCATTATGACTAAATGAACGTGCTCCGTGAAGCTCTCCACCTTGACCACCCATGCTTCATGAATTTCTGCACATTTATTGGGATTGTGGCGTGCTATAATTGCATAATTTTTAGTGCAAATTTATTCCCACTTGGCAGCTGTGTATTGTGATAAGAAAAGCCCAGCCACGAATTCTTGGGATTATCTCCAACTAGCTAGTTGCCCTCCTTGATCCATTAAGACTTAAGCAGTTGCCTCTTGTTATATGGCGCCTTTTTTGCAAATTAGTAATTTAAATATGAGTTTTTTTCTCCGAAGGAATTGGTAATAAACGGGAGTTATTGATTTACTTCTATGACCTTGAAGGAACCAATTGGAAGTCTCTATATTTCCAACCCTAATAATAATAGCACAGATCACGATCCTCTTGGCCTATTTACCATATTTATACCTTTCATTTTCTTCAATTTTGCAGATCGATAGAGGAGGGCGCAGTTCTAATTCGAACCGGGTATCACCCAGTACCTCAAATGCCACGCCAATAAGATTGTCATTATTATCTTTATTATCATATATTTTACATTTGTCAATTTTAATCTTCCATTCGCGTTATATCTCCCCCCCCCCCCCCCCTCCCCTTCTTCCATACATATTTCGGCTTATTTTCGATCTTCCACTGTCTAGTAACGTTATTTAAATTGTTTTATTGGTAACACATGAATAACCTGACATCGAGCCCACTCCTGGTACTAACAGAAAAAAAAGTGTTGCTTTGCCTGCATCGTGGAATAATGTCTTTCAGTACAGCTTTATTTCCTTTCCTTCTTACCTCGGTTATTTTTCCACTTTTTCTTTCGCTAAAATAAATTGACTAACCTCCATATCTTCGTTGTTTGTACATTCCCCCCCCCACCTACCCCCTCTTTATCTTTCTTTTCTGCATGCAAGTACAATAATCAATTTTGTAAATTAAGTAAATTCCTCCATTCTTCTCAACCATGTGATATTTTCTTGCGCTTATGTGTACCTCGAATGTGTGCAGACAAAGACTTCATGGAAGTGGACATTAGAGACACTTAGTTTAGAGGGCATCGCCGCGAACTATGAAAGTCTTCGCAAAACCGACTCCTTTATAACACCGCACTTGCTTTAGGTAATCTGACCCCAATGAGAGGAAGAAAATACAACGTGTTTTACCAAAAAAACACGTTTCCCCTTAAGCCTAAATAGAAATGTGGTAAATTATTCACCGTCTGGTAATTGCAGTTGCAATTAAATGGACTGTCTTACGTATTCGCGGAATCCATTAATCGAGGCACGAAGCTTTTGGAATTTGCCTGAGTGCATTGAATATATTCGATCCTACCGCAGACAGTTTAGAAGTTGTAGTTGACAGCTAAAGTACCACGTTGACATGGCGTGGAACGGAATTAAAGTGTCACGTGGTAGATATTTAAATTTTCATGGTGCAGTGAGTTTTAGGTATGGCTGTTTACATTTAGTAGCTATGAAACGAAGTTGAATTAGCAATCAACTAAGAACAGGTTCGTCTATCTAATGGAAGATGATGATTAAAGACTGTAAGAGGATTAAAGTTTGATCGGAGGAAAATTTAAAGTGGACATTGCGAATTATGAAATACCACGGGGGTGCACGATAGACTTAACTCCACGTGGTGCACCCTAAACAATATATACTCATACGGCAAAAAAGTCTATAAACTGATAGCTGGACTTCTGACTTCAAACTACCATGACCCCACTGTATGTCATATTCGACCCCTTCCATAGTACTCATCTTACCTTTTCTCTGCCTTTTTGTCTGTCTGTCTCTTTCACATCTGTGAATCATTATTCTGTCTCCCTACCCCCCCCCCCTCGTGACTTTTTACCACTTTGCTGTTCCTCCTCCTCTCTGTGAATCCCGAAGTCAGCTAAATGGCTAGTGATAGCTATCAAAACGCCTGCGATTTGAAGTAAATAAATAAATGAAACATACCACAGCAAGGACAGTTAGAATCTTTTGTCCTAGAAGCTGAAAATCGTGACTGGCAAATCTGAAGTAAGACGAATATGTAACCGCTAGAATGGCATTAAAATTTTGAAAATGGTAGGTAGATCTGTACTCCAATTGTCCTTTATCCTATTTTGTTATATAGTTATTAGGTG